TCTCTTTCGGTGGGGTCCTGGTCCACACCACGACTGTTTTCAAACTTTTTCTCTCATGACCCAGTTGAAGAAAATTGTTGATGCCACCACCCAACATAATTTGACTAGTGTGTGGGCCCTGGGGTGGGTCTGAGGATGAGACCTTTGGGCTGTAGGAGGGGCTCTGGCTTGGGGGGTGGAGTCAAGGCTGGGGCAGGAGGCGCTTACCTTGAGAAGCTCCTGGTCAGCAGTGCAGCTGGGGTGAAAAGGCAGCTTCCTGCTTCTCCTGGCACCACATACCATGCTGCACCCCAGAAGCAGCCAGCAACAGATTACCAGCCAATGGGAATGTGGAGCTAGTGGTGGAGGCAGGAGCAGTGCATGGAGCCCTGTGCCCTCCCTTCCCTGCCCCTCACCTAGGAGTCGGGCCTGCTGCTGACCACTTTTAAGGCACAACACTGTCTGTGGTGCCAGGACAGGCAGGTAGCTGCCTTAACACCCCCTCTGGTCACCTGATCCCCCTGCAGCCATGCGACCTAGTGCCTGACATTCCACAACCCAGGACTGGATCCCGACCCATAGTTTGAAAACCAGCATCAGCTCTGGAGGCTTTATCAGATGAAGCAAGCACAATGACATAAAACACTCCAGTTCCCGATAGCCAGGAGGGTGTTTAGACTCCCAGACCTACAGAACATCACCAACGTCCAAGTGGTTCCAGCATGCTAACGCTCTCATAGCCACAAAGATGGAAACAGAATGGGTATTAATGCACCAATTCCCTCTGCAGATCTGCTCACTTCTGGGTTTTGTCCAGTGGTGAAAAATAAGTTGTTGTGCGAAGGGTCTGGGCTGTCCTAGCTCAGAGGTCTTTTTATTTTATCCTCACTGTCATGCAAAAGCACCTCGCTGGGTAACTCATATTGCAGATTGGGGGGAGAGAGGGACTAATTTGGAGGAACTGGCCAAGCAAGGATTTCCCATTTAGTTTAGGATGAGGGCTGTGTCTCTTTTCTAACACTAAAGCAGACACACAACCTGCCCACCCTCAGCCCAGGGGTACTACTTGCAACTTTTGCTAATGTTTCAATTTGGTTTGGATGGCCTAGGAATGCCCAGGGCTCCAGAGCTACTACTGGGAACCTATGCTTATCACAGTCCTTACAAGAGCCCCAAAGACAGAGCTTATTATGGAATGTAGAACATGCTTCTATGGCTCCCAGGTTACCCGAATATAGCAGAAGGTTCTAATCAAAATATATTGGATACTACTAAAATTTTGCAAGAGGATAATAAAGAAAAAGGAACCCTGATCCATGTTATGGGACTGTGATTCTATTAGGCAAATGTGGAAAGAGGTGGACACAAGAGAGAAAGTGAAACTTGGCTTTAGTAATTAAGCCACATCTGATAATTGCAGCCTAAATTATTTCCCTACTAAACTGGGTTTAACTCCGCCACAGCCTTCCATGCGTGAGGACCGCAATAGCTGAACTGGGTTTAACTCCGCCACAGCCTTCCATGCTTGAGGACCGCAATAGCTACCAAAAGCGGCGAGGAGTCCTGTGGAACCTTATAGACTAACTGAAGTGTTGGCGCATAAGCTTTTGTGGGCAAAGACCCACTTCGTCAGATGCATAGTTATCAAGTGCATTTTACAAAAATGGAGCAGGATTATGCCCAGAAGAGAGCAGCAGCATTCAGACCTAAGAGATATGTCTACACAGCAGCGTTCCTCCGAAATAACAAAGAGCACATCTATGCAGCAAGCCATTATTTCAAAATACTGTTGAGCTGGAGGACTTATGCCAACTCTGGTAACCCTCATTTCACAAGGGCTGTGTCTACACTGGCATGAATTTCCGGAAATGCTTAAAACGGAATACTATTCTGTTTTCAGTTTTTCCAGAAAAGGAGCGTCTACATTGGCAGGCTGCTTTTCCGGAAAAGCCTTTTTTCCGGAAAAGCATCTGTGGCCAATGTAGACACGCTTTTCCGGAAAAGAGCCCTGATCGCCATTTTCGCGATCGGGGTTTTTTTCCGGAAAAGACTACTGGGCTATCTACACTGGCCCTTTTCCGGAACAGTGTTCCGGAATAAGGACTTATGCCCAAGTGGGAGCAGAATAGTTTTCCGGAATAGCGGCTGATTTTGTACAGTAGAGCATCGTTGCTTTTCCGGAAATTCAAGGGCCAGTGTAGACAGCTCGCAGCTTATTCCGGAAAAGCAGCTGATTTTCCGGAATAAGTGGCCCAGTGTAGACACAGCCAAGGAGTAAGGGAAGTCAAAAGGAGAGTGCTCTTCCTTTGACTTCCTGCTGGATAGACTGCACCAAAAGCCGAATCAATTAGCATAGCTGAAACTGAATAGCTTAATTCAACTTTTCCCTGCTGTGTAGATATGCCCTGAGTTAGCAGCAAAAGAAATAGCAGATTATCTACAGAAAGCAAATATATGCATTTAAAGAAATGTGGACTCCATTTTTGATAAAAGGATGGCGAGATAGCTCAAATAGTCAGACTTCTGTTGCTCTTGACCACTCTTTTTCCATACCCCATCCAGTCCCCTCCTTTCCTTTTTTACCAATTGGTGTGTATGTGTGTATGTCTGTATTATTACTACCACACTAACATGTTCTGATTTTTCATTTAGCTTTGACAAGTGCTAAAGTTGTATAAGGTGCAGTATTTAGTGATGCATCACTTATCTTTTAATAAAAGTAATAAAAATAATCAAAAACATAAGACAAGCCTCAAATCAGAGGTTGGCTTGAAAGTCTTGCTTTTAAACAATGTATGGGTTTTGTCTGTCTTCTGTTTTTTGAGCCATCCAGTTGAATGTGGGTCAAATTTTTAAGTTCTTCTTCACCATGAGGTCAAGAAACTTTTTTAAAAATCCAAATCAACACTCTCACCATCACATGAATCCAGGGGTTTGAACGCGCACACACATACACACACAAAAATGCACTAAGTACAGTGAGACTTGCAATAAGATAGCAACACTTCAATATATTCTTGGGTCATCTTAGAATGTTCCTTTGGGCTTAAGTGACATCCTTATAGAGTGTCCTTGGAGCAGGGACCACCTTCTTGTCCTATGTTCTTCCAGCTCCTGGCAGAATGAAGCCTTGGTCTAGGACTCTCAGGTTCTGCCGCAATATAGTCAATAAATAATTCTCCTTGCCCATAACTTGTGAAAAATCTGCTCGTTTAACCCAAGATGGAACACTGAAGCCTGGAGCAGATTATTTAAAATCATCCTTGCACCCGCATTTAAAATATGTTTGCCACAGTCAGTATAACCCAGAGAATTTTCACACCCATACCCCCTGCCCATTCTCTGTCTCCCTATATACTTTTGTGCTTATCAGCCCCTGTCAAGATCCCAACAATGCCGCTGATATACAGGTACAAGCACAGCAGGGGGAGCTCCTGAGCCATCTCTTATCAATTGTTTACATCAGTCCTGATGGCTTGAGGGAGGGGGTAAGAGGTGAGACTTTTGCTACCTTATTGCCAATAAAAAGAAAAATCTCAAGCGCTTCTCAGGCACTGCTGGAAGTTCTTTTCAGAGGGTCTACTTTGTACAAGCAGGATACAATTCACTCTGTGCAGGCCAGCATGCACTACTCAGCCCCAGAAGCGTTTAGGCTCCTAATTCCCCTTGAAATCAATAGGAGTTAGGCACCTTAATACCTGTGAGGCTCTGGGCCTCAGATTCAGGTGCTGATAAGGGCAGTGAAAGAACCTAGAGAAGCTTCAATCAGGTTTTAAAATAGGAAAAATGTGCATTTTTTTAACAAGGGGAAAGATGCTCAATCTCACTGAATTTAACTGGGGTTTGAACATGTTACATCCTTGAAGCTCACTTCACAATCCCAGCCTGAAGCACTGGTCTACCTGCATAGGTGAGATTTCACCTGGAGACAGGTATGCCACGGATGGAGCCACGCAGGTTAGATATATGGGCTGTGTCTGGACTGGCCAGTTTTTCCGGAAAATCAGCCGCTTTTCCGGAAAAATTTGCCAGCTGTCTACACTGGCTGCTTGAATTTCCGCAAAAGCGCTGACGTTTTACTGTAAGAAATCAGTGCTTTTTGCGGAAATACTATGCTGCTCTCGTTCGGGCAAAAGTCCCTTTTGCGCAAAACTTTTGCGCAAAAGGGCCAGTGTAGACAGCTGAGATTTGTTTTCCGCAAAAAAGCCCCAATCACGAAAATGGCGATCGGGGCTTTTTTGCGCAAAAGCGCGTCTAGATTGGCCACGAATGCTTTTCCGCAAAAAGTGCTTTTGCGGAAAAGCGTCCGTGCCAATCTAGATGCTCTGTTCCGAAAATGCTTTTAACTGAAAACTTTTCCATTAAAAGCATTTGTAGATAATCATGCCAATCTAGACGTAGCCATGGTATATTAGAGCAAATGACTGCAGCACACACACACACGAAGCAAATGACTGCACCACACACACACACGAAGCAAATGACTGCACCACACACACACACGCACAGAAACAAGAAGCCTGCAATGTTCTGAAAATCTCAGTAACACTTTTTAATATACAATAATCAAAAGTACAGCAGTTTTACAGTGTAGGAAAATTTAATACATACTATATAAACAACATATTTACATCAGAAATCACTAGGACAGTGGCATTTTCTTCACAAATATAAATTAATATTAATTACTGTTTTAGTCAACAGGTTTAAAAGTCCACAAGTTTACAGTAAGCGTCCATTCCCCCCCTTTGCTCAGGGGGAATGGGGGTAAATGGATGAGAAACTAGTACTTTTTTTGTGGAACACTTGAATAGTTCATGTAAAGATCTCAAAGAGCTGGGCACTGCACCAACACCACCTGTGCATGTCTGTGGGGCTTCTGTTTTCTGGTGCAAATTCCTAAGTGACTCAATTTTTAGTTTCCAATGGGATTTGTGATGTCACTGTGAGACCAGCTTAAATAAACCAAAACCAAACCAAGAAGTTGCAACT